ATGGTGAGGAATAAAGACTATCATACACTGTTCCTGGGACAGCTGTCCAGAGGGCTTTACCACAAATCATCTTAGTTTTCTTTCTTTTTTTTTTTTTTTTTTGAGATGGAGTTTCACTCTTGTCGCCCAGGCTAGAGTGCAATGGCGCGATCCCGGCTCACCACAATCTCTGCCTCCTGAGTTCAAGCGATTCTCCTGCCTTGGCATCCCGAGTAGCTGGGATTACAGTCATGCGCCACCATGCCCGGCTAATTTTGTATTTTTAGGAGAAATGGGTTTCACCATGTTGGTCAAGCTAGTCTCGAACTCCCGACTTCAGGTGTTCCCCCACAACCTCGGCCTCCCAAAGTGCCGAGTGGATTACAGGCATAAGCCACTGCACCCAGCCATCTTCTTAGTTTTCTAAACGTTCTTTGATGTTATTTGAGATATACAGAAAAGTTGCAAGAAAAATATAAAGAATTCCTGCATACTTTTCAATCAGACTCCCTGTATTTTAACATCTTGCCACATGTTTCATCATCCTCTCTCTATATATGTATACATGTTATTTCTTTCTATATACTGTTTGGAAGTAAGTTGCAGATGTGAAATCCTTAACACTTTAGTATCCTAAAACCCCAGGGTCAAAAAACAGGAATATATTCTCTTAACAACTACAGCACAGTTACTGAAATCAGCAATTCGCATCAGTCTTAGCTAATCCACACCAGCTCAAATTTCTTTAGTTGTCAAAGTAATATCCTGTATAGTAAAATAAAAACCTGGGTCACATACTGATTCGGGTCATCCTGTCATGTTTGCTTTCATCTTAATAGGAGATCAGTCATTATCTTCTATAACCTTGATGTTTCTGATTAGTACAAGCCAATTATACTCAGAATAATTTCTCAGTTTCTCAGTTTGGGTTTTTCTGATGTTTCCTCATTATTAGATTCAGGATATACATATTTGGCAGGAATATTCCTGAAGTGATATTATTTTCTCCTCCATGTATCCCATCAGGAAATGACTGATGTTAATTTCTCCCATTACTGAAGATATTAACTTTGGTCACTTGGTAAACGTGATGACTACCATATTTCTAAAATAACTACTTTTCCCTTTACGATTAATGTCTCCAAAGAGATACTTTAGTATATAAATGTCACATTACATATCAAACTTTCATCCACTAGTTTTATCATCTGCTGATCATTAAATCATAAATTATTACAATAATAGTTTCCAAATGGTGATTTCTAATTCTGCCATTTCTTCAACATGTACCGGTTGCCATGCTACTATAAGGAGATTTCCCTTCTCACTCAAATACTTATTTAAGTATGGACTCATTGATTCTCCTTTCATTCCGTGATTTACAATCTGTTTCTATCTTTTCTTATTTTGATACTCAAATCGTCTCAGATTTGGGGCAACTGAAAGTCTCTTCAAGCAGGTTTTGTGTCCTTTTCATGTCTTTTTCTTCTTCTGTTTTTGAGTACTTTATTTATTTTTTTAAGAAAAAAACACAGAGGTTTATTATTCTCAACACCAGGAACAGCGGTCTCTGTAGGACGGGGGAGTCAGCTCTGTTGGCTGATAGGGATAGGTAGCTGCTACTTGCTGGCGATAAGCGGATTCCACAGGACCACGATGACTGAGTCCCCACGCAGGAACATCTTGGAGATGCAGCGGTCTTTGTTGACTGGCTTGGACTTCTTCTTGCCCTTGCCACTCTTGGGCACCTCAGTCCACATCTCCTTCACGTTCTCCAGCACCATGTTGCAGTGCCTATCCAAGGCCTTCACATGGCCGAGGAGTTTCTTATTGTTGCGGTAGTTGATGAGCACTTGGGTGTTGTTTTTTGATGGACTGAGTGAGCACAGAGAGTGGACCCATGTTAAATTCCTCCTCCTCTCGCTTCTGCAGCTCCTCCGGGGTCATCTCACTCTTCGGCTTGTTGAGGCGGCTCATGCTGGTCACTAAACTATCGGTTCACTCCCCTTGAGTACTTTCTTAATTTGTGGCTCAAGAAATTTCCAGTCTTAGGCCAGGCACCGCGGCTCACGGCTGTAATCCCAGCCCTTTGGGTGGCCAAGGCAGGCGGATCATGAGGTCAGGAGTTCGAGACCAAGCTGGCCAACATGGTTAAAACCCATCTCTACTAAAAATACAAAAAAATTAGCTGGGCCTGGTGGTGCGTGCCTATAATCTCAGCTACTTGGAAGGCTGAGACAGGAGAATTGCTTGAACTTGAGAGATGGAGGTTGCAGTGAGTCAAAATTGTGCCATTGCACTACAGCCTGGGCAACAAAAGTAAGACTCTGTATCAAGAAAAAAAAAAAAGGAAAGAAAGAAATTTCCAGTCCTGTCTTTTACTTATCCTGAACAGTCCTGGAACCAGTCATTTCTCAATGAGGCCTGTTTCCTTATAAAGGAAACTAGTTTTTAGGAACCAAAATCTGAATATTATTAGACATGCCCAAAGTTTAGTCCAATACCCCAAGATTCATTCTAGCTTTCACATGTTCCATATTTGTATCTACTTTTCTCTAACAGTGAGAAACCTACTTCTAAGAAGGAAAAAAAAAAAATTTTTTTTTAAAAAGAAACCTGGTTCTGTTATTCAAAATATATTTACTCATTTGCTTAAATCAAGAATATCCAAAAAGTAGTTTCAGAGTTTTAAAAATATTAAAAATAGAACTATTATATGATCTAGCAATCCCTTCTGGGTATATATCCAAAGGATATGAAATCAGTATGTTGAAGAGACATCTATATTCCCTTGATCATTGCAGCATCATTCACAATACCCAATGAATAAAGAAAATGTAGATTTTAAAATGTGGTTAAAGAAAATCATATACATAACATGTATATACAGTATATACACACAAACACACACACACAGGAATATGATTTAGCCCTAAAAAAGGAAATATTGTTATTTGCTAAACATGAATGAACCTGGAGGACATTTTGCTTAGTGAAGTAAGCCAGGTACAGAAAGACACATACTCTATGATCTCATAAGTGAAATCTAAAAAAGTCAAAGTCATAGAATCAGAGACTAGAATGGTGGTCACCAGGGGCTGAGGGTTGGGGGAAAATGAGGAGATGTTGGTTAAAGAGTACAACATTTGGCCGGGTGCAGTGGCTCGTGCGTGAAATCCCACTCTTTGGGAAACTGAGGTGGTGAGATAACTTGAGGTCAAGAGTTCGAGAACAGCCTGACCAACATGGTGAAACCCCATCTCTACTAAATATACAAAATTAGCCAGGCGTGATGGTGCATGCCTGTAATCCCAGCTACCTGGGAGGCTGAGGCAGGAGAATCACTTGAACCTGGGAGGCAGAGATTGCAGTGAGCCAAGATGGTGCCCTTGCACTCCAGCCTGGTCAATAAGAGTGAAACTCTATATAAAACAAACAAAAAAAAAGTACAACCTTTTAGTTAGGATGAATAAGTTCTGGAGATCTATTACACAGCATGGTGACTATAGTTAATGTATTACACACAGGAAATTTCAAATAGATATCTTAAATTTTCTCATCTCAAAAAAATATGTTAGGTGATGAATATGTTAAATAACTTCATTTATTTCACAATGTATATCTATATATATCAAAACATCACACAGTACACCATAAATACATTTAATTTTTATCAATTATTCTTTAAACCTTAATAAAATTGAGAAAACGTTCTTTTAAAAAATTTTGGATTAAAGTAGTGATAATTGGTTTTCACTTATTTCCCATCAAAAATGTATTTAAGCATTCTCCTTTGACAGGCACCATTTTGGCTCTGCCATACTCAAATATAATAAGATTAATCACACTCAAGAGAATGCCTTTCCGGAATTTACAGGTTAGTGGGAGAGTTGTTTTTTTTTTTTTTTTTTTTTTTTTTTTTGAGGTAGAGTCTTATTCTGTCCTCCAGACTGGAATAAAATGGTGCAATCTCAGCACACTGGAACCTCCAGCTCTTGGGTTCAAGCTATTCTCCCATCTCAGCCTCCCAAGTAGCTGGGACTACAGGCGTGTGCCACCATGCCTGGCTAATTTTTGTATTTTTAGTAGAGATAGGATTTCACCTTGTTGGCCAGGCTGGTCCCAAACTCCTGACCTCAAGTGATCCACCCACCTCAGCTCCCAAAGTGCTGGGATTACAGGCATGTGCCACCTTGCCTGGCCGGGGTGGGGGCAGATTTTTTAGTGCTACAGAGGCCCCAAATTTATCTCTCTGTCTTTGTTCTTGCTCTCTCCAAGTCCTATTTATTTAAAAACCACAAATTTGACTTAAGGTTTCCTTGCTTAAAACCCTTTGAAATTCCCCATTATCTCACCATTTCATATTCCCTAGTATGGAATATAAATTCTTTCACAATCAGGAACTTGTTTAATTCTCTCTAGGCATTTCCTGTTTCTTTACTGCCCACACCCACCATTTTCCAAAACCTGCTACTCTTCCACAACTCAGCCCTAAAGTCATAATCTCTTCATGAATCCTAGGTTGTTTTTGAATCCTAGGTTTCAGTTAGATGACCCTCTCTGATTTCCCTTAGCACTTCCTATTTTCCCTATTATAGCACTTTCTGCATTACTGTTAGTTGTTATAATCTGAAGCCAGGCTTTGAATCCACATTCAGATTATTCACCGTGTGACATAACTTTTCTGTACCTCAGTTTTGTCATCTGCAATGTAAGGAAAATCACAAGATCTACCTCATAGGTTTGTTGTGAGGACAAAATGAATAGATACATAGAACAGGCTTAGGATGGCACCAGGCAAGCACATAAAGTGTTCGCTACTCACAGCGGTATTAATATATCCTTATGCCACCTTCCTACATAGATGCTCCCAGTTTCCTTTTCTCCATCATAGCAGCCTATGAGCTATGTAGAGCCTGTGACCATGTCCTATTTCTCCTTCTATTCCTATCTCCAAACACAGCCCAGAAGTTCAGAAAAGGTTTACTGAGTTAATGTAAACACAACCCTGATTTAATTTTTTGAAGGAAAATTTGTATTATTTTAATTATTTTTATGAACAGAAAACTCAACAGTGTACATTTAACCCAGTTTAGTGGCAAGTTCTTTAGCCTTTGCCTTTCCGAGCCTGGTGATGCGAGCCACAGACTTGGAACCCAGGACGTTGCCTCCCCAGTGATGGCAGATCTCATTGTATCTGTCATTGTAATTGGTCCTGACAGCTTCCACCAGCTTAGCCAAAGTGCCTTTGTCTTCCGAGTCAACGTGTGTGAAGGCGACAGTGGTACAGGTCTTCCTGTGAACTAGACGTCCCAGTCTTGCCTTCCCGTTGATAATGCAGTTAGGAACCCCCATTTTATGACACAGTGCAGGCAAGAAGACAACCAGCTCAGTGGGATCCATGTCGTGTGCAATCACCACCAGCTGAGCTTTCTTGTTCTCCACCAAGGTGGTGATAGCATTAACTTCTGCTCAAAGGACAGGTGGTCTCTTAGTGGGGACGTCCCCTTTGCCAGCAGCTTTCTTTTCTGCCTGGGCCAACAGCCTCTGCTTCTTTTCTTGCTTTGTCCCTGGTCTGTACTTGTGGGCCAGCTTAAGCTAAGTGAGTACTATTTGACGGTCCAGGGCCTCGGTGAACTGATTAATCTCAGGAGGCAATTTAAGCTGCTTATAGAGAGTGGCTCTCTGCCACTGCAACCTGATATGGCAGGGCCATTTCATGAAGTGGGTGAGGTCTCTTTCAGGCTGGATGTCCTGTCCGATGCCAAATTTCTTAGGCCTTTTCTCAAACAGGGGATTGACCACTTTCTTGGCCTCCTGCTTCTTCACTACAGGAGGCAGGAGAATCACTAGAACCAGGGAGACAGAGGTTGCAGTGAGTCAAGATCACACCACGGCACTCCAGCTTGGGCAACAAGAGTGAAAATTTGTCTCCAAAATAAATGAATAAACAAAATAAAATAAAACCTTTATGGGATATGTATATACACAATGGAATACTACTTAGCCATACAAAAATGGAATCCTGTCATTGGCAGCGACATGAATAGAACTGGAGGACATTATGTTAAGTGAAATAAGGCAGGAACAGAAGGTTAAACACAGAATATTCTCACTCATACTTGAAGCT